AGGAAGCACCACCTGGACATTCTGAATCAAGGCTCCTCGGCCTCAACAGAACAGCTAAGGTTCAAGTCCAGCATGACCTCAGAGACCAACAAGATGTTCAAGGGATAAGCTTTCAAGAGCCAGCAGGGTGTGTAGTGGTTAAGAGCGGCGCACTCCAATCTGGAGAACCGGGTTCGATTCCCCCACTCTTCCACATGCAGCCAGCTGGGTGACCTTGGGCCAGTCACAGTTCTCTCAGAACTTTCTCAGCTCCACCTGCCTCGCGAGGTGCCTGTTGTGGGGAGAGGAAGGGAAAGGCGACTGCAAGCCACTTTGAGACTCCTCTGGGTAGAGAAAAGTGGGGTATCATGAACAATTCTTCTTCTTCTTCGAGAGTCAAAGCTCCCTATGTCAGAGGCAACTATGACTCTCGAAAGCTTATGACCTGAACATCTTATTATTTATTTATTTATTCAGTCAGGTTTTTACCCCACCCTCCCAGTTGGTTTCTAAGGTGGTACTGGACTGGAATCGAGCTCTTCTACAGCAGACCGACACAGCTACTCTCCGAAACTCAGCCTCAATAACGTGTTTGATTCCTCTGGAAGTAAAGTATAATGAAGAAGAAGAAGAGATTGGATTTATACCCCGCCCTTCACTACCCAAAGGTGTCTCAGAGTGGCTTCCAAACTCCTTTCCCTTCCCCTCCCCACAACAGACACCCTGTGAGGTGGGTGGGGCTGAGAGAGCTCTTGACGGAAACTGCTCTTTTTCAAGAACAGCTCTTATCAGAACTACGGCTTGCCCAAGGTCATCCAGCAGGTGCAAGTGGAGGAGTGGGGAATCAACCCCGGTTCTCCCAGATTAGAGTCCGCGCACTTAACCACTACACCAAACTGGCTCTCATGAAGAATGATGCTGGGCAGGCAAGGGGCTCGCTAGTACTGCTTTAAAACAGATTCCACGGCAAAGCCAAGAGCTAAAGGCAACTGCCCCATTTGCAGCTGAGAGGGCCGGCTGAGATATTCAAGTAATAGTTGGTATCTACTTGGAGAGCCAGCCTGGCGTGGTGGTTAAGAGTGGCGGACTCTAATCTGGGAGAACTGGGTTTGATTCCCCACTCCCCCTCCAGCGACATGCTGGTTATTGTCAGAGAGAAGATAGATCATTTCATCTGCCTCTGAGCATAAAGCTCAGTTTAGCTCTGCAAGTTTCCAAATGATACTCTGTACAGACTTGAGTCCCGCCAGTGTATTGCACAGAGACTACATTTGTTAGTTAATTTGGTGTAGTGTTTAAGAGTGCGGACTCTAATCTGGGAGAACCGGGTTTGATTCCCCACTCCTCCACATGTAGCTGCTGGTGTGACCTTGGGTCAGTCACAAGCTCTCTCAGAGTTGTTCTCTCAGGAGCCGTTCTCAAAAGAGCTCTCTCAGCCCCACCTGTTGTGGAGAAGGGAAAGGAAATTGTAAGCCACTTTTGAAACTCCTTCGGGTAGTGAAGGGTGGGGTATAAATCCAATCTCCTCTTCTTCTTCTAATTTCAGAGACACGAGTTTGCCAGTCCCAAAGAATTTTCACGGAACTAAATTATGAATAATTGGTCTATGAACAGAGGGGGGAAGGGGGACTCCTGGCGTTCATGCGTGTTCAAATGCCGAGAGGGAGGACTCGGAATCTCTAAAGACATTTAAAAATTAATTAAAACCCCAAAATGTTCACAAAACAGCATTGCCAGTAATGTCATCAACAAACAGGTTTCCAGCCTGGAGTAGAGAACAGATGAGGGATGAAAAACAGACCCCCCCCCCCTCGCTTGGCACTGTAACATGCTCATGTTGGATCTCAGCATATGGACAGCATAAAACTTTCAAAAACAGCACTGTGATCCAAACTGCACCCGGCGCTGCCTAACACCTGGAGTTTCAATCCTACTTTCCCTCCCGCAAAATGGACTAAATTCCCTGTGGTAAATCAGCCACAAAGCTAGGGCCCAGCCAAGGAACCTACGAATATTTTCATTTGCATTTATGTACTTATATCCTGCTTTCCTCTCCAGATGGGATTCAAGGCAGTTTAGGACACGGTTCTCCCCTCCTCCGCTTTCTCACAACGACCCTGTGAAGAAGGCCGGGCTGAGAGTCTGTGATGGGCTCAGGGTCACTCAGTGAGCTTCTGTAGCAGAAGTAGGAATTCGAACCCCAGTCTCTAAGGATCCTGATCCAGCACTCTATCCAATATGCCGTGCGAGCTCTCTATTTGTTGACTCTGCACCCTGCAGCTTCTTCCAGTGATTCATGTTGGTCCGTGGCACTCTAGTTTCAGCTTTTCCTCAGAAGTTATATCCACTTCAGCCCCCCCCCCCCCAGGGCTTTTCCCACCCCCCCTATAAAAAAAGAAG